TTTATTTTCCAAAACTACTTCATAAGCTTTTTTCATACTCTTCTCTTTTCATGTTGTTGGAAAGTTGTCGCTGTAATGGATGATCTACTCGTGATCATGATCAAATTTTGCAAAACTTGGCAATGTGATTCATTATTCTGCAAACTTCGCATTGAAAATTTTCACAAATTTTCACTACTCCTTGAGCTATCTATTATTTGTATACCCTTATTGCAAATTTGAAATTAATGACGGTAAAATTTTATCTCCAAATCTTGATGTTGATCCTTATGTTCATGCATAACTTTTTTTATACAAAGATATTCTACTTTCATTGGAGTAACATCGACTAAATCTTGAAACATTGTTGGATGGTATGATCGTGTGTGATTTCATCAAAATTTGAAATTTATTTAGCAATTGCAATTACTTCATTCACAATGATTGGAATGTTTAGTATCATCTCATTGTAAACTTAATCTTTCAAGTCTTGTTTGAACAAATCTAAGATTTTTTCTTCGCTAACATCCATGATGAAGACTTGAAGATCACAAGATTTTTGAATTTATTTGTATGGATCTTCTTTTTGCTTCAAGTACCACAATTTCATTCTTTTTATATGAAAAAAATCAACATATTGATAATTTTGCAAAAGTGACTCTTGGATTTTACTCCACACAATTTAAAAGCAACTTTCTTTTATTGCAATTTTTTCAATATAACGTACTATGTGAATGTCTTAACATTGAAATTAGATCTTATGTATATTTTTGCAATAAAATCAAAAACATGAGAATGATACAAATGTATATGCATCATCATCATTCAACAATCTAAAACTTTCATTGCTTTACTTTTCTTGTAGATTTTCACCTTATGTAATGATCTCATTCATAGCAAAAGATTGACTTGATCTCTTATTTTTTGGGAGTAGTCTCCCTTTTATTTACGCAAAATTAATAGGATTTGATTCATATGAAACTTGATCATTTAATGTTGAAAATTTCAATCATTTACATCTTTTCTTCTTATATTCCTCTACTTTTTCACTTTTCTAAAACAAAAATCTTGTATTTCATGGATTTTTGTTGAATATGTATCTAAACTATTGTTTTTTTAACTCTTTTTCATTTCAGCCATGATAAAATTTAGAATCTCATTCATTACAATGGATGTGCTCATTTCTTTCTCATTCACTCTAATAGAAATTAAGTATGATGACTAAACCAATCAATCTTTGTTGAGAGTTTGCTTATGCTCTCAACAAAGCAATCACAAAAAGTTGATTTAATTCTTTATCATCTCTATAACATTCATCATTATAATTCCTCACAAGAAATCTGTTCATATTCTATTCATCAAAATATTGTGTTAATTTCTACATTTATGTTGCACTCATGCTTCAAATTTATTGAACATTCAATATACGATGTAGATAATCAAGTCTTTAGATAATTAATAGATGAAAGTATCAAGTGAATCATTGATTTCATCACTTTATTCATAAAATTTGCACCCCAACATGCCATAACGTACATCAAAAAATGATATTTTGTATATATTAGAGTTCAATTGTCAAATAACTTGAAGATCGATCATAGCTATATTTAAATATTTTTCTGCCCTATCTTTGCAAAATCACAAATAGTACTCTTTTACTTTCTTTATATGTAGATTTATGATTTCTGCAAACTTCTATAAATTTTCAAAAACTAAATGCTATCATCAAATTTTTGCTAATCCATGAGAGTTAATCCACATTCAAAGAAGGAGCAAAACAATTTGAATGTCATTGTAACACTCAGTTTGAAGATAACAGTTGAATCAAAGATGATATACAATTATGAAGATGAGAGATACATAGAATAGTTGTTTTTTCTTTTATATAGATTTTACCAACAAAATCTTATAAAAACATAAAATCATATTCCTTAAAATATAAAATCTTATGCATTTCAGTCCTAGTAAATTGATGATATGGCGGATAATTTTAACAAGTAGACGGAGTGCTGACATGTTGATGTCAACTAACACATTAAATTTTTTTCTACCAAGCATACAGATTGTTAACATGACAACTATAAATTATCCATTATAATGTAACTATATCTTCATCTTGAATAACCTCTCCTCTGGTTAAAACTAACTAAAGCTAATTATATCATCAAAGATGCTCATTCATGCAATTTACCAATTTAAATAAAAAAATTGAATAAATAAGTTGTTATGATGGATTGTAGATTTAATTGCTAATAAAAAGAAAGTCTAAAACGGCAAAAATAACAATAAATTGCTCCATATTGATAATAAAAATAATTCAAACAAAGTTGTGCAATTCATCATGAAAACACATGTGTAGATAACAAAATTTTCACACCTTGTTTGTGTAGTCAATGAGTTAAGAAACCATACAAAATAATGTTCAACGAAATACGCAATCAAGCAAAACAAACTATTTTTTAACTTGATAATGATTATTAAATGAAAAAAATTCTTTCATTGATCTCCAATTCAACATACTTAAACAAGAATAGTGATTGCTTTATAATTTGTTACTACTTAACAACTTTAAAAAAATAAAGCATTAAATTTAGTTGCATTATCTAATGCATGCTCTACATTCGCATTTGCATCATTATTATCTTGAACTTTAGAATTACAATGTACTGTGTAAATTATGTACAATATATTGATAACAATAATTGTGGGTATTATTGTTATCACAATAATACAAAGCATTATATAACAAATAACAAAAACAAAGACAGAAAATGCTCTGTGATAGAATTTTTGAACATCAACAAAATGTTATTGGAGAATGAAATGAATTGTAAGAATTCATTAATCATAATGTTAGCTTTGAAGATGATTTTTAATATTATTGTAATGAAAGAAATGGCTGCATAATTAAAAAAAATTGCATCCTTGCGCTTTGATTCTAGATTCTACTTTTTTACCAAATACAATGTAGAAGCTTCATTAAAATCTTGTACTTTTTTTATGACTTAAGGTCATGATGCGTAAAAAAAAACTATAAATGATATCAATAATACTTAATATATTCTTACAAACGTCTTTCAAACATTGCACAAAGCAATACAAGTTTGAGACTGATTGTAGAAGACACACATTCTTACTATCTTGCATTACCACATAATTGCGGCATGAAACCAGATAGATAATTTAGGCAGCACAAGCTTTGATTTCATATTCTATGCATGTTTGATTATGAAGGTTATTGATCCACAACACGAATGGAGAAAAAGATTGTTACAAGAGTTAAAATAGACTAAAATTTCTTTTAACTCATATAGTTCAATACTAATTTATGTGAAAGTTTTGCTATCATCATAAAGTGAAGCTAGTCAAAACTCTTTATGAACATTTCAAATTATCATGATATGTCATGAACGTAGTCTGCAATGGCAAATAACATAATTTTGTGTCATCATCTTTAATGTATGTTCATGTTGGAATTCTGATATGTACTTCCTATGAAAGTTTATCTTTTTCTTTTGAAAAAAACAACAAAATATATCACATGAAAGTTTTGTATTATCTTATATAGCTTTGATTTCATGAGTTTTACAAACTAGGATTAAACCAAAATGAATTATTAAAAATATGAGTTAAATACTAACATATCTTAGAGATAGTCAAAGATTTTATTATTTTATTTTTATAAATTATAAAAAATACCTGTTAAAATTATTATCTCATATATTAAAATAATACATCATCAAAATTTTCCAAATTGATTATCATATCTATGTTTATAATTAATTTTATATATACACTTTAATATATACAATACTTGTTAATTTTTTTAAACATATTAATTTTTTTGTTGATTTTAAATTTTATAGGTTTCTGCTAAAAAAATTTCAATCAAATTCATAATTCTCTTACGCTCAAAAGTTTTGTTAGATTTCAATAGTAATATATATTCCCTATCAACTTAGTGCTGATTGGATTTATAAGCCCAAATTCTTATGACTCTTATGTAAACAGATGAGTTAAAATAGAGCTTTTAAAGTTATGGAAATTGAGTTTATGGTAAAGATTCATCTTAGTAGTATTCTTCATTTTACCTGTTTGGAAATCTTCAATTTTCAATATAAATACTTAATTTACTGACAAGAAATTTAATATTGCATGCAAGGATAGATGTATCGGCGTAGCATGTGCTCCACCTACAATGCCTTTACTTTCTGCCATCTTAATATTTCATGTCTTTACTCTCGCTTTTCTTTTCCAAGTGTACATTTTGACAACGAAGTAAAGTTCTCACGGATTGGATGCTGATCTCTCAGAACTTTTATTGATGTTCAGATTTGCTACTTTCAATGGCAGAACTGTAACTTTTACCGGTGGGTTTAAGAGCGCATGCACAAACATCACCCTCTCAGCTTTTTGGATAAGTTTGGGACTTTTGTATCATATTGGAATGTGGAATGAGTGCAAAATCTGGAAATTTTGTAGGATCATTGTGGTGTCGATGGCATTTGGTGCTTCTGGGCTTCTTGTCTACAACGCACGAGCACTACCAGCACTCCACATCGACCTTGCAGTTTTGATCTCCGATACTACATAGGGCTATGAATACAGGTCTATAAGCTAGTATGGCTGGTCCGCCTATTCACGGCAGAAATGATTGTCTTCATGCTTACATTGTACTTCCGGAAAGATTATTCTTCTTCAGATATTTCATTCTACTTTAGGGGTTGCACAGTAATCTGTATATATACAGTAATGAATATGTACGTTCTTATAAAGATTGACTTATTCAAACATAAAATATAAACATAAGATTCATTTTTAGCGGTTTTGTAAGATTGGCAGTATTTGCAAACCCCAAACCCTTTAGGCCTTCAAGGGCAGTAATTGTCTTGAACGCCGGAGATCTGCCCCTGCCATCTTCTTCTGGTAAGCCTGCGAGAGAAAGTCGTGAAGATACCCCTGAGCCTGTGAGTTTAATTAATTAAACCTCCCCGGAAATTTATTTTCTTTAAACGGAATTTGTACCGCTGACCAATTCTTTCCAACTGGACATTGTTTTTGTCATGTCTCTGTACCAATAAATAAGATAGAGTCTTTGATACATAAGAATCAGAGCGTGATGTTGCACTCAACCAGGCGCTCTTGACTCTCCACAACGCCCCAGTAAGCGGGCTCGGACATGACAGAACATGATGGCCTTGAAAATCTCGGAACTCATCCCATGCTTCGATTTGTTGTTCCCTCTGACGCTGCCGCAGGACGTATACCGTAACAAATACTGTACATATGTGTGTGACTGTACTATACTGTGGGGTATCGTACACTAGCGGTTTGAAACGAGAGTGACCGTACTCATAGTACGGTGTCGTGGTCATACGTCATACACCAGAGCAGGCGCGATGCTGACGTTGCGCGTGGCGTGGCGTCTTCGACATTCAATCCGAGTTTCTTATGGGCAGAAGTAAGCGGCAAGTCGGAAGTGGGGTGCCGATGGATGGATGACGAGGCAACTCGTACGACCGTCAGCTGTAAAGGCCGGCAGTCAGTCCCCCCACGCGCTGACGATCGAGAAACCGGAAATTTACCTTCCGATGACAATCAGATCTCCTGCTCTAGAACCGACCACGCGAGCGAGTAGAGTCCACCATATCAGTCCCTGCTGCTCGCATCCGTATCACAAATACATGCTTAGTTTTTCGACACCCGCCTTGACAGCGCGAGCAGAAAAGGAGACTACAGTTCTCACACTCTTGTCTCGAGTGCCAAAGTGATCATTCCATGAAAGCCGCAGAGGAGATTACAAATAATTAGACAGTAGAAGCAAAATCCGAATCCCCGGATTCTCTGCCCCATATAGTAAATCTGCACCCATCCATGTGTCTGCTGAGATTCCAGCCGGGGTCATAGCGTCGCTAGCAGGAGTATTATTATTCTTCCTCGTAGGCCGAACACCCAACTTGAAGAAGGTGACAGGTGCGTAGAAGAGGTGAATGCAACGAGCCGAGGAAAGCATCAGCACTGGGGTTGTCGTTTCCAGCTTTTCCCAGCGATGCAGTCGGAAGCTAAAGCTAAAGTTGCTTTGCGAGGTCACAGCGAATACTCGGATTTCGATTGGATGAGCATCAGGTCTGTTGGACTTTCTATCCTCGCATCGAGCTCAAGGACCTGGTCGGTTACATACCGTCGTTGCGAATCGGTATAATTACACAGGGACGGACAGATTGCTGATAGCTGGATTCAGCTCATCCAAAGTGGGAAAAGCTGTACATTGTGGGCTTCATCCAGTGCCTCGCACGTCCTCTGTCGACGATGCTCTTGGTGTATGAGTGAAGTGTTTGATGTCACATAACTCGAGGGCGAGGACGAACGATCCGCTAGAGTCCACTGGGGTTCATTGTCCTACTCGGAAAGAATATTAATACGTGCACTGGAAGTACATGTGCACGTTGTTGGGTGGAAAGGTTTCAGTGCACAGGTCGAGCTTTGACGTCGAGGATCGTGTTCAAAAATCAGGACTCGCCCCTTGCAGTTCCAAGTCGGGACGCACTTGTGGACCATAAAAGGTGTACATGACTCCATAACAGGTCGACAGGACTGATTCCAATGAGACGAGTCGGACAGAGTGCTCTGGTACAGATTGCGGAAGGACGGGTACTCTGTTCACTGCAAGATGTCAAAGTCAAACCACATGTGTCAACTTCCATCATTCCATTCTCGACTCAGATTCCTAACTTTTGAGCAGGAACCATACAATCTCAGAACCACAATCACTCGGTGAATCGGTGAGTGGCCTCACCATTTCTCAGCGTTATGAACACTGGAATACTGTGGCACAGTCATGAATCGAGTACTAAGTCGCAGTAGGAAGAGATGAACTCGATCAATCAATGAATGTCCCGAATTAGTATATTAAGGAGAGGGAGAGAGGGAGTATGTGTGTCTGTGTGCTCGCCATAGAACAGTTCAGAAAATTGTTTAAGAACGACTAGTGGCTACTGCGCGAAGACAGAGTACATGCAAATTTGCGCAGCTCAGAGTTATGTCGTGAAGCGGAATGCCTGAAAAGAAAGAGATACGTCAGTTCAGTATCTGCCAACAGCAGAGGAAGAGGGAAGGAGCATTCGTGGCCGAGTAACTTTAGTCTTCAGCGGTCTGAGGAGGCTGGTCGTACCAACTATTCGTCGCTGCAAGTAGAGCGCCATCTCCCGTGCAAACTCCAACCCCTGCCCGACATCATGCACGTATCGTAGCGAGTTCGAGCAAGATACTTTGTTGCAGATTGACGTTCACTATACTCAGCTGAAAAACTCCAAGTTGTACATGTCACTTTTCGTCGTCCACACAGATGAAAGAGAGATTAAAAGTCTCACAACTCTTGCAGTTCACTTCTTCCGGGAACTAACCAGTCACTCGTCCACGTACCCTGTGCTGCAAATGCATACACTTCCTAAATAGGAGCAATTTGCGCACACCTCAGGTCAGGAGATCTTTCTGAAGCTCACGTTTCTCCCGCTCTATCGTATATCGGGCACAGACACGGACAGGGACAAGGCGAATCAACTCCATCTCGCATTCGTGCGTCAAGGAGCCCTTCTCTCCACGTTATGTCCTCTTCAGCTTATGCCTATTCCCAGCCCGACTGGCTGCTCCGGCAGAGAGCGATGAAATCTCTAACGTTTGCAGTTCAAGACTCCTTAAGTTGAGGACGAAGATTGTACCCGTTCAGAAAAAACATTGACTTGCAGAACGATGGCAAATGATGATGTGCGGTTGTGATCAATCCTGTCGGAAACCTTGGAAGACGGCATCTGTATGTGAATTTCAAAGTGCCCTCCTCGCACAAACTTCACTTCGCAAGAAGAATTTCATGTGGTCCCTTGGAGCTGAGATATCCAGCACGATAGGAGAACCTGCCGAAAATTGAAACGTCGAAAGAACGGGAGGGCATTGGGCCAGCAGCTCTAGCGGATGTGCAAGTCTTAAAATCACAATTCCTGCAAGCTTCTGTTCTGATGTGTAAGATGGAATCCTACGACATGAAATTCCACAAGCTACTGTGAAGAATTTGTGAGGCAATAAGGTCCTGAGAATGTCGCAGTGTTCATCCCCTCTAGACGAAGCTGGGACATAACTATTCTCAACAGTTCAGGTTTTTAACGGGCACGATCTGGCACACAGCACGACTTAATAAATGCAATTGAGGAGAAATTAGAAGATAATGGATGACACTTACTGTAGACCCAGCGACAGTGACCAGAGGTCACCGCAGTCTCAGCTGCGAGTGTGCAGCTCATGACTGCCAGTCATCTCATATCAGCTGAGTCAGGTCGCGCAGGGAAAGTGCCGCTATTGCCACTGCTTGCGCGCGGCTACCAGCTTCAACAATCAGTTGAAAGTAGTAGCAGCTAATCAGCAGAAGGGGTTCCGAGGATGGCTCGGGTAGATTCTTCTATTCCGCTCTCGACAATATCTCCGTGAGGTTTTTTACGCATGCAGGGCATTAAAACTTCCGCCACCGATGGAATACACGATGTACATTTCTTTCGTCGGCTGGTTTTTTCCCGTTTGAATTCCAGTCAAATATTGTACAACTGTCTAGATCTCCATGAAAGGATCATTCCATTTGAGATTTGAAGTTGGATTGGATAAGAAATTGTACACTCGCATTTGTTTTAACAAGTGCATGTGAATAGTTTTTTATAGTATGAGACCTCGACTTGGATCGATGGCTTTTTGATAGCAAACATCGAATCCTCTGCATCGATTTTCTCTGGATGTAAAGGGTGATGTCTTCATTACTCCTAAATACGCACATTCAAATGGGCATATTGGGAGTCCACAAGTAAATCATATTCAGGTGAATTTGATATAACCTTCATTAATACGTCGATAACCTCATTAACGATTGGTAAGTTAAGCAAATGAGATGTAGAGTATGCAGAAGTTTAAGAAAAGCTAGTTTTGATTTTCGACAATATTTTATTTCATTCCTTTTCAAGATATGAATGTTAACCCGTTATGTGGAATAAAATAGTATACTTTCTCATCATACCAAGTTTTTTCCATATCATTAATATCAAAACTTTTATCAAATGATACTTTCAAGTTTTTCCTAATTTCAAATTGTTTAAATACTATTTTTGTCAAAATATCAATCAACCCGTTATCAATATATGTGGGCTACATTTGTATTTTTAAATGTTACAAAAATTTCTTGTTAGTATAATATAAAGTATCTTTTTTTTTTTCAGAACGCAAATAGGCATTTATCTGTTAAATATCATCAGCTATATTTCACAATCAATTTTCAATCTTGCATTTAATATTCAAAAATTTGTTTCAGAAACAAGAACTTGATGTATTCTTATCTTACAAACTAGCTTTACATGTAGGACATTGTGATGATAATACTTATGTCAAAAATACTCATAAGAAAGTTACAGGATTTGTATGATGCCAACTGAAATTATTGAATTTTAATAAACTGTTTGTAGCTTATGTTGATATTGTATATACTATGATATTACATGCAACACAATCCTTGTAATTAAAGTTAGAAACAATTATGTGATAGAAAATGTAAAATTTCAATTATATAAGTTTACATATGTATAATTATAACAAACAGTACATAATGAGTACTCTCTAAATACAGAAATTTGTGTCATAGATTCCGTATATTATGTTTTTTTTTCCATGAGCTTTTGTATTTCAAGAAGTTCAAATATATTATTTTATGAACTAAACTAAAGTAATAAATCATCACTTTCTAGGTTCGCCATGCAGTTTAAAGCCACAAAGCACGATCATCTAAATGTTTGGATAGATCCCCGTTGACAACATTGCTACGTTTGAGCTATGACAAGTCAGTCATGCCACTTTGATAAGATAAATTCAAGATCAAGTACTCTTTGATATCCAATCCTTGGCAAAATTGGACTGAAGTTTTTGCATGCAAATCACATTCTTCTCTTGACAACCGTTTGAGCATAATCAAAGCCACATGTGATGAGGCAAGTTTCAACATTTTCCATTTTGCTACTCTGTAACATTAGAGTTTAGTGAAGAACTCACTCGAAGATGAAAACATAAACTCTGAAGATAAGAGATACTAACAATGGTTATACTCTCTCTTATATTAATCTTACCAACAAGTACAAGGCGAACTCATTCCCACCATTCATTTCACACCTAGCGGCTATATGACATTGTAGATGAAACTAACAAGCTCACGGATATGTAACATGACATTCTCAACAAACACACTCAATTCTTATCTATCAAGCACATATCGTTGACGTGGTATCTATAACTAGTGTATCATAAAGTAACTATAACTTCATCTTGAGTAACCTCTACTTTAGTTCCAACTAACTAAAGATGTTTACATTACATCAGGAACTTACAAGGTTGAAAATTTGGGATGTTGTTCAAATAATTTTGAATTATCAAGATTGTTTGGCAAAGTCTTGGCAACAAAATGCCATTAATTAAATAGTAAAACAACACAAGCATATTTTGATCGCCATGCACTATGAATAACAACTTTGCAATGACTTAAATACTTAAATATCCGATTTCAATATGGCTTGGAGTATTTCATGCATTAAAATTGTCTCAACTTATTGAATTCTTTGGAGTATTAACCTCTTCATTTTCAAACACAATCGCTCTCAAAAGTGACACTTAGATGTTGAAATAACAAAAAACGATTATAGATAAAAAATAACATCGATATTCCTTAAAAGATTACTACATTGCCGTCAAATTTGAAATTTATTGAATAAAATATTAGAAATTTATACTAAACTCCGTACATTAGATATATTGCTTTGATTACAATACTTACTTTGTAATAATATTGAACATACAAAAGATTTTCTATATAGAAATACTTGCCCGTAGGTAAGTCAAAACTCATGACTTTGATTTCTTGTCATTTGTCAAACTAAAAAATGTTTACTTTCCACACTATGAAATAATACCTATTGAATGGAATATGATTTTTTGTCAACAGTTTGTATGGACATGGAACTTTTGGCACTTGAAATTGTGTCCAAAATCAGAAGTCACATATTTTATTGACAATATCAGATAAATAAGCTGAAGATCTTAAAATATATTCAATCAATTTTGTAGGGATTCAAATGATTGTTTCTGATTTTTTCTCTAATAAATGCCCTTGCACATTTGAATATCTCAAGTTTAAAGTATGCGCTCCACACTTTGATCCATAAATTTTGATGCGTACTTCTTTGGAATGCAGAATTTAGTAATATTAGAAATTTTTTCATATATCAATATGTTACAAACCTTGTCGTGAGATTTATGTGAGTCTTGAGACTAAAATGTAGTTAGTGTTTTGTGTAAGTTTAAATTAGGGAAAAAAACCATAAATAGTGTAGGTGTTATATGTGTTTAATGTAACTAGAGTTAAGTGTAGTATGTATTTTCAAGTTGTATTACAAAGTCGCACTATGTGTTGTACTAGAGTCGAATGCAGTATGTAGTCCAAATTGTGCTACAAATTCGTACTACGTATTGTACTAGAGTTGAGTGTACTACATACTTTCAAGTTGTATTGCATGAGTTGAGTGTAGTACGTACTTCCAAGTTGTACTACTCACGTATTACTTATTATTTTTGAAATTTTTCTTAGAAAGCTATATTATAAAGAGTGTACGATTCCAACATTCCTTTCGGTCCCAACTTTGAGTTTCCACATGTTGACGGTTAGAGGATATATGTGATTTTTAAGTGTTTCTGTGTGTTTCAAGATTAATTTTTTTCAAAGTAACTTGACATTGAATGTTGCAAAATTTGACGAAGCCGACGAGAAAAGTCAGTATCAGAAGGTATTTTTTTTCCCAAATGACTTACTTTTCAGAGAATAGTGATCTTAAAGACAAATAAACATTTTCAAAGCATTCTCAAAATTTTTTAATGATTGTAGAGCAAAAGATAAAATATGTTTCAATTTTTGTTTCAATTCTACATTGTATGTAAATAGAAAGTTATGAGTGTTGGAAGTTATGGAGATTTTCACAAGTACCAAAAGTTTGATCTACGACAAATTTGTACAGAGGTAATTTCAAAAATTCAATTTATCGTTCCAAAATTTGTTTGAATTTATATTGAAAGATAAACTATTTGTGAATTTAATTTCACAAAAAGAGTATGTCTAAAGAGAAAGTTATGTTATTTTCAAGTTCACGGATACACACCAAGAAAATATATCAAAATTTTTTGGTTTCTTTATTCGCAGTTTTCTTCCTGAAAAAAGTGTTTTTTTTGGGAGAGATCTTCTTAGTGTTTTCACCTTATGGAATCCTTTATGTGATGGATTTTTGTTGCTAGCACTCATAGTCCGACGCATTCTTGAGCAACACTTTTTTCTTAGACAGCATCAAAGCTGCCGTACATGCACAACATTGCTTAATAGTTTGAAGTTGATGAAGAAGTTAATCTAAAGATAAAGTATATCAAAGATGAAATTTGTGAACGAGCACAAAGGTTAAATCAAGTCACTCAAGACTCTACATTTTGTGATTTTCAATCAATGTATTCTGATGTTGAGAAGAAATTTTTGAATGAATTGATGCAAGATGCCGAGCTTTGCTTGTTTTGACTCCTAGTATTATTTGCCATAAAGCAAAATAGAGTGTGATCGCAATGGAGATTTTTGATGATAAATTCAAAACATCGTGGGTTTTATTTGCAAGATTTTGACATTGATACAATTTAAATGGCATGAATTTGTTTGAAAAAATAGCAAAATCAACAAACACCATAAAGAGTCGTTGAAAGCTTGGAAAAACTTGTCTATCTTGATAGGCCAATATGATCATGAATGTGTTTACAACATGGACGAAATAGAATTGTTCTTTTGAGTTGTTCCACAATACACTGTGCTAATGCTTCATAAAGACCTACCCACTGTCCAAGGCAAAAAATGCGCAAAATAAAGTTTGATATTGATGGTATATTGCAATGCCAATGGAAGAGAATGAGTCTCAATTACAATAATTAAAAAGGCAAAGTAGTTTGTCTACATTGCCGAAAGCATTTGACGCATTTTTATTTTCACTAGAAAAACTCTTAAAGACATTGGTGGTGTGTTGCTATGCCAAAGCAACATAAAAAATTCCGATCACAATGATTGAACGCTTGGATCAACGTTTTGACATTCAATAGATAATTTGATCAGATATCTGAGCATTGATTTTGCCGACGGACAGGTGACAAAGTGTTGTTGCTTCTTAACAATGCTACTAGTCATGCTGCTACTTTTGGACGCAATGACATTTATAATGTCTTTTTTCTGCCTAGTGACAACTCTTGGAAGCAGCTGATGGATGTGAGTATCATCGTTGTCGCAAAAAAGCGATATAAATATCTTCGTCTAAAAAATATTGTCGATCGTTATAATAATCTTGAAGATAAATTTGCATTAGTAGCTTTGAAACTCAAGCAATGTGCCGTTGGAATTGTTTACAGAAAGTCTCAACATTTGCTTGATGTTGCAAACTTTGCAAATGTTGCTTGGAATGACATTTATACTAATAGTTTGAAAAACTTTTTCAAAAAAGTTTATATGATTATTGGATTCAGCAACGCC